TGCTTTCCAGCCTTTACAACACCATGGCTTATTTGGGGTAAATATTCTGTCTTCATCTTTGATGTATTAAATCAATATCTTTGTTAAGGTATGGCGCAGAAACATATCAAGCCGAACAAAATACGAGCTATCTGCCGGTGAGGAACTCCTGTTCCCGTCACTGCTGCTGTTATTGGTACCGCTGCTGCTACTATTATTCTTACTCATACTTCTGCCACTGCTACTGCTATTGCTACACCTACTTCTGTTACTGCTTCTGCAACTGCTATTGCTACTAGTATTACTACTGTTATACCGCTACTGCTTCTGTTACTGCTAGTGCTACTTCTACTGCTATTGCTATTGCTTCTGCTATTACGACTGCTACTGCTTCTGCTACTGCTACTGCTACTGCTACTGCCACTTTTACTGCTACTGCTACTGCTACTGCTACTGCTACTGCTACTGCTACTGCTACTGCTACTGCTACTGCTACTGCTTCTGTTACTGCTACTGCTACCGCTTCTGCCCCTGCTTCTGGTACTGCTACTGTTACTGCTGTTACTGTTCCCGTTACTGCTACTGATACTACTGTTCAGACTGTTGCTGCTACTGCTACTGCTATATTTCTACTGCTACCTCTATTGCTACTACTGCTACTACTTTTACTGCTTCTGTTACTGCTACTGATAGTAATATTTCTTCTGTTACTGTTGCTCCTACTGCCGCTATTACTGCTTCTGCTACTGCTACTATTAGTACTACTACTGCCGCCACTACTGCTGCTGCTATTCCTGCTGTTCCTGATGCTACTGTTTCCGCTTAAGCGAATCCTATGTTCTGATCCGCTATCTGATTGGGCAAGATGGTCCTTGTATTAAAAGACGCTTCTAAAAAAAGACAGATTTAAGTATACATTACATTTCCACCTTGCTTCTCGGTTTTCTTTCTTTCTTTCTGTGTTTTGAGTCTCTGGAATAATTATTTTAACAGACTTTTTATCGGTCCAAGCCTTGGAGGTGCTCTTGCCGAACATTTTGGCTTTGCGTGGGCAGTTTCGGTATGTACCAAATTACTAAGCCTCACGTAGGAGTTAATATTTCGTTTGTGAAGTTGACGCACCTTAACTTTACTAACCTGTAAGGAAGAGCGCTACATACTGACTCTAAACAAATATACTCATAGTGCGTACAAACGACGTGACTGAACGTGACGTGACCCTATTTGTTAATGCAGAAAGACCCTGTTCACAGGCTGGCTCTTGTGCCAAGAGATTCAAATAGTTTGGTAAGTTTCCTCTTTTTTTTTCCAGGTTTCAGCTCTAATAGGCCTTGCTCTTGTAAGTACACCTTTTCAAAATGAATTTGTACAGTTATCCACCACTGCAAATCAAACAGTTGCAACAAAAATAAAATAGTTGCAGCAGATATGTAACAGTTGCTGAAGATTTAAAGTAGTTGTTGCAACTACGGAATACCTGCTTTTCCTTAGGTTAGACAGAAAAGGAAAAGAAGGGGATATTGATCGGTTACGAGAGATAAAAATTAATGAAAGATGACCCAGCAAAGAAATAGACAAAGACTCTCTAAGATGAGAAACGTCAGTAAATTTGGTGCGGTATTAGTGTTCTTACTTAAGAATGGGTCAAAATTTTAAACAGCTATCCATGAGCTGAAGGAAATTACAAATTGTGCCTGAAAGACACTGTAATTTACCTGGCGGAAGGTCCCCATGAGAGAAAGGCTGTGCTCGAGGTCTTCAATACGGCCAGAGGCCGAAGGTCGGAGGCTGCACTTAAGACCAAGGGTACAGTTCAATTTCATAGAGACCGACCGCTTTGCTTTTTCCACTTTTTTCGCGATTGGCGCGGAAGAGATTCCGGATTTTGGTCCTTATTTTGTAAATACCCGTAGCCAATCAAATTGGAGGATTTCAGAGTTAGGCCTGCTGAGGAGCTTAAGAAAAAAAATATATGTTTATATACCACTGGGTCGAACAAGGATAAATGTTAGGTAACATTATTGCTTTGATGTTTTTAGGCACTGACTTTGCTTATCTTCACATTGGTGGAAAATGCGTCTCAAAGGTTAATAAATGTTTGGAGTGTGTTCTTGAAGTCCTGAATTATTTTTTGAAATAGTTATCGTTAATATGCAGAAAAATAACTTCAAGGGGTTTACATATAACTCTTTACCGAAAGTTAATCAATAGCGGATCTAATAAGCGTATAGTTCATATCATATTATGATATGCAAGGAATCTTATGTACCGTTTTACACCAGGAAATTTTGCTGCTTTGCGTCTACCACGTTTCTAGGTTCTCTCTTCATTCCTGCCCCAAGGGCGCCTATATTCTAGTTCTCACCAAAGAACAGCGGGAAAAGGAGAGACTTTGGTAACGAGATTGACGCGTCAAGCCATTTCTTTTAGTATTTACAGTTTGCACAAAAAATGCTTCAGCTTTAGAGAATTACGACTTGCGCATCAATGATTGTCATATCAAGATAACTTCTTGACCCTTTACACCATGACATCATTATGTATATTCTACATACTGCCCTGTACATATTTCTTAGGTGTTGACAACTGAGGAGAATTTGCGTAACGATTAAGAGGTTCTTTAGTTGTTGATCATTTCCTTTGTTCTTGTGACCGTAATGTGTGAATTCAGGGTGATATTGTCTGGAGAAATTGGATGCAAATCCCTTTTAGGAGTCAAAGAGCTAACCATAGATTATTACTCCTTCTTGAACTGTTGTCAGAATATGCAGTTGCACCTAAATAAAAAAGATAAGGAGCACGAGGCGCAAGCGAATGAAATAGTTTGAGTTTTTTCAAATTCTTACTAAAGATCATTGTGGTCCATTTGATCATCTTTGTTTGTCTTGAATTAATTTTACGATTCTTTTCTTTAGAAGAAATTCCAATCGGAAGGAAGAGAAGCTCTCTTTGTTGAATTAAGGCAAGACTTATGACGAAATGAAATGGCAAAGTTATAAGAACCTGAATGAAACTAAAGAAGGAAGTCTGAGCAGTCTGGAACACAATTTAGATTCCTGGACGACCATCATATATATGATTTTGTAAAATTCTGCGATAAATAAATGAAATGAATATTTAATGAATTTTACTGTCTTGCATGGTCATTGGGAGACAAAGTAGTTTAAATTGTGGGCCGAAAAGAAAAAAAAGTAATGACGATATGAGTATGATTGATGGATAGACTATTTGTATGGTTGTGCAATCGGCAAGGTAAGGCGACTAGAGGAAGGGTGAATGGAGACGTTAAACAGTCTGTCATAGAACAACAACAACAATAACAATAACAAAACAACAACAACAATAACAACAACTCCATAATTTAACCGACAAACTTCGAGGGCACATGGTAAGAGTCTCGTGTCTTAAATGACGTCAAACCCTACTCCAGAGAAGTAAGCTCGCAACGGTGTTGCGTAAAACTAAAATAAGTAAGAATAATTTGAAATAAAAGTTACCGGGAATGAGAAGGTCAGTCTCATACCTTGACTTAACTTGAAGATCAGAGAATAACATTATAACATCTCAATCCAGTATTACTGTTCAATAATCTTCTTTTATAATTACTGTAGGGATTGAAAAGTGCTCGTAACGCACCGCTAAGCAGTCCTCGCCATCTTATAGAAAAAAATTTCTCTTGGAAAACTCAGTCGCAAATTTGCGCATACATGGGTGGTGACGAGTTTCAAAATTTTAAGATCTGTATATAAGGAGACATTTTTGAAGACGAACTTGTCGAGGTGAAAGAAAAAGGGGAAGGGAAAATCTTGAGGAAGAGAAAGCCGTTTCTCGGACGGTAACGTTTAAATTACGAAAAAGATCACCTCATAGAATAACTTGCCGATGCCGAAGCAAAGGGCAAAAAATTAAAACTAAGTGAGCAGTATAAACAAGTAAGGGTAATAGAGTCTATTGCCATCCATTAATTACTGGTATATTAATGATAGAAATGACGTCAACAATGTTTAAAACTTTGCAGTGAACACTGTTGACCACATTTCTATGATACAGTACTTTGTAGATGATGGAAAATTGTGTTCAATTTGTTAAATTAAACTGCAGCAATTACTAAATAACGGGGGTAAGTCGGAGCGAATGACGAAGGGCTAAGGCTCGAAACATCAGCTTCGAAACTCTTTATGGTGGCCAATTTACGTTATCAATTCAGTTGATAATATTAAATTACCCTGCAGCAATTACTGTTGGCTCAACAGAGTGTGATGGTGACTTGATTCGTCAAAGGCTCCTTCTATTTGAGCTGACCATCAACATTGTCAAAGGTTGCATGGTTTACCTGTGGTTTTGATCTTACTGGTTTAGTTGTGGTGCCTGTGGCGTTCGACTCGCTGTGTGGAGCAGCACAACTCGCTTGGTTTTTTAGTAGTCTGACTAAAAGGCTCCATGGACAGACGCTTTACATCACCCTAGACACCCAATGTCGTTTAAGCACGGATTTATTAGTATTCTTCTCAAGTGGAATAAGTGGAATGCAACTGGGGATGAAAATGGCTAGGAAAAGGTATTATGGGAAACGTTAACGAAAATATTGCGGGAAAATGGGAACGAAGCTGGCACTGTGCTACTATGGCATGGCATTTTCAATTATGTCAAAAATTTGAAAATCCGATTTCATTTCTTTAGTCAGATGTTGCCTGCACACAAGGAAGGAAATCAAATTGTAACGTGACACAAGCCAGTTGCGAGATGCTTTTGTGGTTAAAGCACCATGGGCATGTCGGTCTTAATTTATCAGAAATAAATGTCAAAGAAACACTTTGCGCTCTCTCAGAAATTGTTTGTTTTATTGTATACTCACTTGTTTGCTTTTTATAATAACTTAAGGAATTATTTTCTGTTCTTTCGGGAAAAGGCTCAATATTGTTTTTCCCTCAAAGCCGCCCGAGGAATAAATAAAAATCATTCACAGAGACAGTACGAAATCCTTAAACTAAATCAGAAAACAAAAAACGTTGCTTAATCACTCTTAGAAACCAATCGCACGAGTGAAACAATCAAATCCAGCATTAACGGGCGCAATTTGAATTTACTTTAGCACCATCCATTTCAAGTCTCCTCTGTTTCAAGAGGGAAAGCAGCCAGGGACTGGCCGGGAATGGGACTGGCATAAGTGTGTTTTCTCACGAGCAGGGCGTTCTGATCAGTGAAAAATGGCAATTCGTGTCATTTTGACAAAAACCAGCGAGAATCTTAGAGAAACACCGTGTCCAGGATTCCAAGTGCAGGAATCCAAATTGCTTTCCAGACTTTGTTCTCGTTCTCCTTTGTTTTCTTTCTTGTATCTTTGCCATTACGTTTCGTAGCTAAAAGTGCTTTAGTTTAACAAAGAGAGTTTCTCTTCTGTCTGATTGGAACATTTTCTAAAGAAAAGAACAGTGAAATTATTTCAAGTTATACAAAGATGAACGAATGGAGCACAATTGGCGGTAGAAGTCAAAACCACCTCAAACTATTTTAGTCGTTAGCACCACGTGCTCAACCTTTTTCTTTTCTTGTTTGTTTGAAATGAGTGACTACATGATCTGACAACAAATCTAAGAAAGTTGTTCATCCTATCGTTGAGAACTAGATTATTACATGACAATCATTGATCAGGCATTCTACTTTGATACTCTGACCAGAAGTTTCAGTATCCGAAAAAAAATTGCGAGACACGAAATGAACCATATTATCTGAGTCTCTACTAGCTTCTACTCTTTCTGTTGTTCATCGCTAAGGAGAACCGCACTAACAACAACAATTACTGGAATAATTTAGGATTTCACGAAAATGTTACAACAATTACTGACCCTCGGGACACCTTCTCCACCAATGTAAATATAAGCACAACGAGTGCCTAAAAATGTAAAATAAAATTGTAAATTGAAACAAATTAATTATTGTTTAAATTCGTTTTACATGAATGTATATCCTTCTTCTTCTGTCCAATTAGAATGAATGACGTGGTGGCCTAGTTGTGAGCGCTTTGGACTCAGAGCCTTATCCAGGGTCGTTGACCCCTCTCGCGCACCAGGAGTAAGAATGAGTAACGGCAAATTCCCAGGGAAACCCTACTAAAGTACATCGGGGAAGGGCTGGGGGTACTAGCTTACCTCCCATTAAATGACTAAAAGAAATGTTTTAGTCATTTAACACAACAGAAATCGGGATAAAAACCATGGAAGATGATCAACTCGTTTTCAGACTTAAGTGACGTAAACAAAACCTAATTTAGTATTTGGAATCAGAAAGAGCATGTTACGATGTAAGCTGATACAATTTTGACTTTGAATCTTGACCATCTGTGGGAGTAATTGAGCAAAAATTAACAACAGTAAATCTCCACAATTTGTAGTTGTCCTTCAGCTGACGGACAACCGTTTAAAAATCCTTGATCTAGTCTTAAGGAGGCTTCATAGGGGTTTTTGCTTAATTTTGGCGCACTTCAGCGTTTATTTCTCTAGAAAATTTTTGTGTTTTTGGTTTTTCAAGCTCACCAAAAGCCATCAAAAGGTGACGAGCAAGGATCGGACTATTATTTGCTGTAATAAATATTGACAAAATGATTTTAGTCATTAAACATTACGTAATGGAATAGAACTTCGCCAAGATCGGTACCTGAGCACGCGTAGACTTTGAGACCTAAAACTCGTGATCGATCAAAACGAAATTTTTTTTATCTTCCGAGGACAGAAAAAAAGCAAATATCCTGAAGATTATAACTTACTTTCCTAAAACACATTTTGGAGGTGGTTCGTTTTCTTCACAGCAGTCTTCGTGGTAAAGTTTTCGCTTGGCTGACCAAATTTGGTGCCCTTTTAGCAATCATTCCTACGTTGTTTTCTTCCCTTTCGAGGTAACCTCGAAGCGACTGAAGGCGCCGCGGATGTTGTGTTGGCCCTTTTTAGGCGTAAAAGGAATACATTGGGTGTCGTTGCTGGAATTCCCAGGGCCCATGATGGGGACATAAATATTTTTACACACCTTTTTTGAAATTATCCGTGCAATCGTAACGAGCCGCCATATTTGTTTTGCTTCTCGACATTTTTTAAGCTTGCGCCATCAGTCTCGCGCGGTCAAAAACCCTTTAAAGCCCTTTTACCGCACGAAGTTCAAATTCAGACAGCGTTAGAGCAAAATCCATTCTGATAAAGGTGTACTTACTTGAGCAAAACTTATGAGACCTGCAATCTGCAAAATGAGAAAGGAAACTCATTACTACACTTGAACCTCTAGGCATAATAGCCAGCCTTTAGACAGTCTTTCAACAATAACAAATAGGGTTTGAAAACACAACATTTGTACACACCATGCACTAGTCCTTTGACAGTTCGAGAGTGCTTTTAGATGCAGGTATCGGGTGTCGATATGGAAAGGGTGATAACTGTGGAAGGTTGAAAACAAGATCAAATGTTTGGACTGTCAACCTCTTCCGTGAAGAGGAAGATCGTTATTGATTGGTTGCACCTTTTTGGTATTGTTATACCCTCGAACGCCACTTATTTGAACGAAGCACAGAGTACTAGTTTTGGTCCTTAATTAATGGCACTTCATCGTATGTCTTTCATTTTAGTTGAGTTGACTGAGCCAAAGTTCTTTCTTTTCATTAACGGAAACCTAACTCCGACAACAACCTTAACTGGGATACACATTTTAATTTGGACTCCAATCGGCCAGCAAAAAAATGGCCGTATTAGCGAGGCAGGGTCAATTTCATAAATAAAATTATGTAGGAGTCTACTGTATGAGATTTTTTAATGTAGCCGTTGACCATTTAAAGAGGTGACTGCATTGACGAGGGTTTTTTTTTTTAATTTATTTATTTATGTGAGATGAATGGCCGTTTCAAAAAAATGGCCAGAGCTATCGAGGTGGCTTTAAGGCGCGGGATTACACTATATCTACATACCGTCATTGCCCACTGAAAGCCAAAATGCTCGTCAAAAGCACCTCCGAGGCTTGGACCGATAAAAGCTCTGTAAAACATTATTAATACAAATTATAATAACCACGATAACGAAAAAAAACAACTGAGAAGCACAAGCGGAAGCAGTAGCATTAGTTGTGGCTATGGCATCGGAAATATAGAGCATCAAAAATCGAAGTATTCAGCATTAGTAGAAGCGAAAGTTACTAACTGGTAGACGGCTGGTATTTCGTTTGGAATCAAAGTCTGAATGTAATATATTATTGCACCGCGACTTGACTGCAAGGTTTTCATATATCAAAGTTGAAGACAGAATACATACCCTAAGTAATACACGCTTGTGTAAAGACTTGAAAGCTCTGCATTTGTTTCTTCATTGTCAGGCATCCCATTTTCCCTGCCCAAAAACAAATGTTTATTCCATATTTATTCGGCTATAAGATGCACCCGGGTTATTAGTCGCTCCCCCACCTTGAGAAATTGACAATGTCAAGCCCCGTCGGTAAATAAAAGTGAAGACATTTGCACTTTTCTAATCAGTTTCACTTCACACACCCCTATTTTGGCATCGATTTCCATGAGAGAACAGATTTTTCTCATGAAAACGGTACGCCTTAAAACAGACTAAGTATAAAACCGATTATCAGAAAATTAAATTCTTAAATGCTAGTCGTATTTTTATGATGGATACTGTTACAAAATGACAATTTGATTGCATTCGGTTGCGAGGGTTTTCTGATTGGTTTTACGTTTCTGTGTCAGCGTATCTTGGAATACATAAATAAAATGCTTTCTAAAATGCTTTATTGAGTTTGCTCATGATGACTTGGCAGACTTTAACGAAACCCAGGCAAAATTTCCACGATCAAGAAAGTCTTCACGCCGCACTGGGCACGAAAACGTTTCTACTGGCTAAGTTATCGAGTCATGGGTATATGAAACACACTGGTTCGCAGCGGGCCTGGGTTCCCAGTTAGTTAGATCACGTGATTTCTGATCTTCAGTATGTTCAAGAGAGGATAAAGTGTTTCTCTTGGTATATTGAAACAGACATGGCAATGAGCCATTCACCTTGCAGCTATCATGATTTCAGGCAATAATGGCACATAGAAAAATGAGGCAACGAATCCCGAAAACGCCATGGCAACGCATACTAGCCATATCTCGCTGCAACGATAATATACAGTTTAAAATTAGTGATTAATTTTATAAAAATAGATAACTGCAATGAAATCTGTAAAAGGTTGCCACTTGCAGGACCCTCCTAAATTTCCACTATCACAAAGTGCCTTTTGAGCACGATAATGCGCCGATCGGTTCGAAACTTCAGCATCCCCCATGGACATTTTAGCGTTGTCCGTTTTCAGGGGGTGGAAAATTTTAACTTTGCCGGGGTGGAGTAAGGGATTTGAACCGGAAGTGTCAGGTCTTTCTGGCGGAATTCAAATGCCATTATATCTTTATATGGAGGTGTTTAGGGTGAAAGGTTCATTTTTGCGAGCGAATGGCTCAGAGGAAAAGTTGTACAAGGTCTAGGTTTTAAAGCTTGGTCAATATGTAGAAAGCTTCTCCAGGGGCAAGAATTTGATCGAAATAATCTTCAAAAGTTCAAATGCCCGGCGGCTTGCCTGGGAGTTTGCCCGAGGGGTTTCCCGCGGGGGGAGGGTATGTTAAAGCTTCGAATTGATCGGCACATACGCTACTGTCTACTTTATTAGCCCAATTGTTTTTAACGTCTTTGATAGCATTACAAATGAATCAGAGGCAAAATAAATCTATACACAATCTTCCCACCAAAACATCAAAATTATTCAACGTATAGCTAACTTGTCTGGTTCTGTTGATTTTAACAAGCAAAAAGATGTTAGTCTCAGCAATAGATAGATATTTACCTTTGGCAAACTCACCAAATCCGTTTGACAAGCAAATAGCTTTAATCATACATTGAAAACATGCATGTGACGGAAGGTACATACCCATCGGGAAGAAATGATAAAAAGGGGGCTGGTCCTAATGATAGGTATCCAATGCTGTAAGCGATCAAACCCGACAGGAGCAGCGATCGGTAGCATTTCTGATCAGGAAAATTATACAAGGTTGTAATTACAAGAATGAGACAGAGTTTTATTCTAGTTCATTGAGGAGGGCTTTGATTTTACTGTCGTCATATAATACCCAACACACCGTGAGGTAAGCAAGGAAAGCCGAATTGTTGTGACGCGCGATGAGCGTCCTCGCTCTCTTGTATTTCCAAATTTGTAAGCTTCCTTGCAAGCAGTGCGTACGATCATCACGTGTGCAAGTGGCAGGGATTGGTTGGCGGAAGAAGAAGTCATTCTGAGAAGAGAGTATTACGGCCTTTTCGGTTTTTTTTTTTTTTTTTTGCATTTTCTACTATTTTTTCTGAGAGTTATTTTGTAACTGCTGGCGAGTAGCTCACAAAATCGCCACAAGTACGAATCCATGAGACCAAGTAGGAGGTCTTTCCCACCCTCCTATTCGTCATAAATCGGGCTGAATAATGTCTCTATTGCCGACGACAGTCAGTTCACAAGGGGTGACTGATAAAAAAAATTCCGATATCTTAAGGAAGAATTTTGACAGCAGGTTTTTTCTGTTAAAATTAGTACAAGGAAGCAAAGAATAAGGTTTGAGTTAACGTGATCCTGACCCGTAATCATTCGTGAGCCAAAACAAATGAAAAGAAGGCAGACAACAAATTACAAGCAGCCCCTGTTTCCGACGCGTGATTCTTAAAAAAATCCAACAAAAGATAATTTGAAGACGGCTTTTATTTATGCGGCACCGACACACTTTGCTGGAGAAGGCCAGGTAGGGGAGAAGGAAAGGGTTGCTAGCAATGTATGAGTAGAAAATCTAAGTTTTACTTACTGTTTTGTCGGCTATAAAGCCTATTAAAGGCGCTGAGACGGCGTTAGTACCGGCAAATAGGAAGAATACAAGACCAATCTGTGTAGCATTTTGACCCAGCCATAAGAGAAACATATTAAGTTGTTTGTGCCTCAAAATAATCTTTTCGGCGTATGCTGAAGATGAACTTTTTCCCTGTGTGTTTATTTAGAATAGGTAAAGTGATAAACTGGCGCGCGAAGTCCAAAGGTTTAAGGCTCGATTCCACACAAACAATTTTTTCCTTTGCCTCACGCTGGTGGAAAAAACAATATCTTTCTTTACTAAAGACCGAGTTTAAAACTTATACTGGTGGTAGCTGAGGAATTACCGCAATTGTTAATGATAAAAGGATACTGCGATGAAATATTCAAAATCAACATACCTCTCTCAAGTGAGGCGCCAAAATTGGTTGTATGAAACCAGATAACGCACCACCGATAACAGAGGAAAAGCCTGAGTACAAAAAAAAGAAAAGGTTTCTTTCCATCCCGTTACCAGCGGTTGCGGCTTGAAAACTTTCGTTTTGGGAAGGAGTTGTTAAATGTGACCTTGAAACAGAGGGCGCCACGAGTTTCTGCGAGGAATTAAGCTTAGACAATGCAGGCTAAAGAATTTCGTAATAGAGCCGTAAAAGTATGTGTGACACAACGGATATGCGGCATGAAGAGCAAATAGCCGGGCACTAGATTTCTCGTATCATCCCTCATCTGCTTTGCCGATTGTGTCGCAACACGCTGACACCATGATTGCGGGCTCAGTTAGTTACAGTTCATGCATATCAAACTTACCCATTACAAAAACAGCTGGAATCCTTAATGGCCGCATAGATTTGCACATGGATATGCTTTTGCTTGATTCTGTTCGGTATTCTGATCAATTTGTGGAATAAAAATGGAAATGATTGAGGTCAATGGAATGAAATTGAAAATAACCTTTCACTGTGATTTTCAAGAACTACGAATGACAAGCTTTGATACCCGATTAAAAATTAATCTTTCAAATACTTATCCGGATTTTTAAAAGTAAGGCCTTGTTCAGAGGCCAAACTTTACAAAGCTTGAACTTTATTCCAATAAACTAACCCAAATTTTAAAAAAACGTCGAACTTAATCAACGATGTTCTATGCCTTTCTGCAAAAACTCTCCACGGTACTTTCTCTCTGAATTAAAGTGCTGAATGAGTTATTCATCAATCCTTGCCGAAGTGGCGATGACTATATGATTGTTTTGTTATATTCCACAAACTGGACACTTGACATGCGATTTCTCTTCGGCTGCACGGAGGTGAATAGCAATTGTTAATCTTAATTTCTTCCGGTTTAGCAAATCAGTGCACGCAAAAAGCAGTATTCACCTGTGAAGTATATAAGAAAAGTTTTTATGTATTTGGTTTGGTGTATGAAGTCTTAGTTTCCTGCAAATTTGTGCGGAAAGAACAACAGAGCAGTTCCGAATTAAAGCAGCCGGTCATAGATGATCCAGACGCAAAAGTTTTCATTTACTTATGAGTTCTAACACCTAAAGTCAAGTTATAAGGGTTATGAAAGAGTTGGTATTTGTACCAGGTCTAAGCAAAAGTTTACATGCATAATCTCACCAACCTGTTTCTTTTGAAAGCAGAAAAGCTAAAACTCCAATGCTACAAAATAGAATTAGACCCATGAGAATGAAAGGAAGTTTGAAGCCACCTACCTGAAAAGAAAATATATGAAAAAATAAAACGCAATTTAATGTGATGGTGCATCATTGCATACCTTAAGCCTAAATATTTTGAAATGAAGGGGTACATATATTAAGAGGCAAGAGAAAAATAAGGGGTAACTGTTATTTTCTCATGATAATACGAATACTAAGCATGTGACATAGCTGTACGTGTATACGAATTTTATCTTCTTATCGGCCTAAATTTGAAATAACGCCATAGGCACTTAGGGATTTACCAGGTTTTTTACTTACTGTGTACATAAACCCTCCAAAAACTGGACCAAAGGAAGATCCAACGAGACAAGATGTCTCCACTGCTCCCTAAACACAAATGTACCAGACAAGAATCACTCTTTACATTTTTTCCAGCCAATCTGGAAATAAAAAGATCATAGACTGATCACAAATTAAAAGTGTGTTGCCAAATTTACTGGCAACTGCATACCATTCCTTGTACTGATTCTTACGAAAAACAAGCGCTTTAAAGTTCTTGAATATCAATCAAACAACAGAAAAAGGCGCAAGAGGTATCAAGAGATATCAACAATCAAAAGTCCGAAACAAAACGATGTTGGTGCCGTTCACGTAGCTATAGAGAAATTCAAGACTCAAGTTTAGCCTACGGTTATGTCTTCAAACTGATGCGGACTTAAGATTGAGCGTGTGTGGAGTGAAGAGGACAGAAAATGTTGTATCCGTTTTGTTTTTGGACAGCACAACGTTTGCCTTGTGAGTTGTCTGAGAAATAAAATATCCTCTTCACGTTTGTCTTTTAGCGGAACCTTAATGTTACATCTCATGCATTAAAAAATCAATGCTCTCGCATTCACGTTCATGCACATGCATTTACTATGCTCATGCACACAAATTCAAATGCAGACATACAGAAACTGTTCCGGTATCATTTGGAAACTTCTGCAGCATTAAAGAAAGGACAGCAGTTTCAGCCGCTGCTGCCCCAATGGCTGATGTTATTCGTAACACAAAGCAAAATATTATGAACATTGTCGGATCAAAGATCACTTCGCCAAATCTGAAAAAAAGACAAAATATTAAGCGCATGATGTCACGGTAAAAGGAAATGACAAGAAATACAAAGGGGATTCAATCTCGAACCTGCTTCTCGTTCAGGACTTAAACGTGCTAAACATTGAATTTTTCCCCCAAATGGAACAACTTAAGCATCAAATTATACGTTGAAAAATATAGGTCACCGTGTTCGTTTAAGTGAAAAAGACCATGCGCACTAATTCGCAGGATATAGGTGATGGTATGCGCAATACTGGATGCGCAGTGCAGTATTGAGGAATCACCTCAATGAACTAGAATATAGAGTTTTCTGCTTACCCCATTAGCATCAGGGATGTTCCAGCGATAAAAGTACCTGTTACAAGCATAGTGCGAGCACCATATTTTGGCACCTGCAATGAAAATGTTTTTCATGTTACTAGAAGGATTGGTTTGGTGCTAATGAGTTCACTTGATTTTTCGTGAAAGAACGAAGCCGAGGTTAAGTTAAATGGGTATATTTTACACATTTTTAGTACAAAACAAGAATGTACTTTGCAGTGCATATACTTACAAGGACTCCACATGGGGGGGAAGTCAGGAAAATTACAAAAGCGTAAGATCCAAAAATTAATCCAACATAAATATCAGACACGCATCTATCTTTTGCCTAAAATGTAAAGGATAAGATGAGAAGTTAATAATGATCATAACTCACCCACTAATTTTGCGCAGTTCTATTGACTACTTTACGCAATGTGGTGCAAAATGTGCGGACAGTTGTGACGCAATAACCCCTGTCTAAGTCGTTATTTGTCCTCTGATTATTTCCATCCAAAGAAACAAAGCCAGCGGAAAAAAAGCCAGCCCAAGATTTTAGCTTTTTCATATCCATTACTTTACATGGAAGAAAAACGAGTTCGTTTTGTGCATGTCCAATGATAGTGACATTAAGGAGCTGATCTAAAATGCTGATCAGGAAAGCACAAAAAAGTGTCAACAAAATTTGCTTTCAACGTACGATACGAAGATTAATGGAAGGGTTCTAAAATAAACAAACCCCATTCTGGCTTGCTGGTATGTCGGCTTATATTGTCCTTGGATGACAGATTGTCCTCAAAGTTTTACATTTGTCCTAGATGCTTCGCTAATTGGCCAAATATTAGTTTATAGGACAATTTCTCAGACGCGTTAATTTCTTTAGAGATTTGGGCTCGAAACAATATTTTTTTTGATGGATTGGAGCTTCAAGCTTTGGAGTTCTGTGCATTTAATGATAGCGATCAAACTTCGTCGAACTGTGTGGCGCGACTTATTAACAAGAAAGGCGAATAGAAAATTGCCAGATTCATTGTCTTTAAAAGCTGAATGTGGCTATTGGACCATAAAACCACAAATATTACTACTAAGAAGAGCTTCGCTCAGCTCAGCTCTAAAACTAACATATCTGAAGCATCTTTACTACGCGAAGCACTGCAACATGCAACATTTCTTGAGTGATGATAAGAAGTTGTTGACTCCTTCATCGTACCATTTAGTATGCTTCCGTAAGAGATTGCGTAAGCACTTCATTTGAGAAAACAAATGAAGTTTGCATTTCCGTTCGTTTTAATTTTTCGATTACTTGTGTTCGTTCGGTCTTCATTTCATTTTGAATGCTTAATATCTGATAACTTACTCTGTAATATTACTCTTAATCTGTGATTTGCGAAATCGAAATCTGTTATTTAAGTGATAACCTAAATTACATTAAATACGTGCCAAGTTTTCTGACCAGATTTGCACTTGGAGAACGTTGTGGCTAAAGGCGTATGCAATATCAAATAAAATATCATGCTTAGAGGGAAAATGAAACTGACCCAAGCTCTTTGATATTCTTGAGTTTCATCAAGTTTATGATTTGATCAACAGTCAAAATTTTCATGATGAATACTTGTTGTCGATTTTCAAAAATAATGATGAACATAAGTAAAATAGCAAGCATAGCAATAATGCAACTGCATTTTTTGGTGAAAGCCATCTCGCAAAGTATTTGAGTGGAGACCAGAATAGTGTTGAAGAGCAGAAGGATAGGCATGATCTCACTGTGGAGAAGTACCGAGCGGCTTAGTACGAAAAGTATCAAGATAATCGAACAAAGCTCCTCGATTGGATTGCAACTAATGACAGAGTCGAGGAGCAGGCAAAACAGAATTTGATGGACGGACGCAGATTATGCTTTGAAGCTGTACAAAAAGGTGCATAATCAAGAGCTTGATCTAAGAGAACCACAGCTTTCCGACCTGTACAACCCAAGTGTTCACCAAAAAACAGGTGAGATGATCTACGTCGGAGGAATGGCTTTGGCTTTGGGATTGGCTGCCAGTCGTTACCTGTGAACTATAATAAAGTGAAAGGAAAACTTTCAAGAATCTACTACAGCCCTAAAGGCTTTTGGAAGGGATTGCCAGCTGTGAAGAAATCGGCTAAAGAAGCTGGAATGTCTGAGGACGTTGAAAAGCTTTGGCTGATGAAGCAAGCCATCTGGCAGATTCATTTGCCTGCCCCTAAACATATACCAAGACAAACTTTTGATGTGCAATCCCCAAATCCAGTAAATCAAGCTGATCTTCTTTTCCCTCCTCATGACAGACGTCTGAGAGGAAGGAAATTCTATATATAAATATCCATTGACAGTTGTTTATGTTACAAGCAGATTCAAGGCTGTCGAACCTCTCACCTCAAATATTTCTTCTAAGGTCTGTAGAACTTTTCAGACAATTTATAAGCATGGACCATTGAGATGGCCAAAGGTTCTTTAAGTTGATCCTGCGCGTGAATTCATGGGTGAAGTCACAAGAGAGATGGCAAAGCATGATATTAGGATAAGAAGAGGAAATGTGAACGTTCATAGAGATCAGGGAATCGTTGAGCGATTCAACCAAACTTTGGGTGAACGCCTCTTCACTTTCCAATACAGTTAAGAGATTAACTACAAAGAGGGAAAGAGATCAGTCGAATGGGTGAGGAGGCTTCCAGAAGTTGTATTGGCTTTGAATAGTGAGGTGACCAGTTTGACTGGAAAGAAACCTGGAAAACTGGATGCTGACGACACACGCCTTACATATGCGGGCGGTGATCTTGAGAGTATACAGCTTAGTCTGAATGAGGACTTAACAAACGTTTTCAACTGGCTACAAGCGAATAAACTCACACTGAATATGACAAAAACCGAATTCATGCTAATAGGGTCAAGGCAGAGACTGGGTACTCTCACAGCTTCACCAACAATTAGAATGAACAGCACTCAGGTGAGCCAGGTTACTTCTACAAAATCGCTTGGTGTGATTATAGACGATAGGCTCGATTGGCATAGTCACATCGAAAAATTAACAAAAAAGATTGCCTCTGGTATCGGGTGCCTAAAGCGAGTCAGGCATCTGATCCCAGCATCGACCTTACATCTGCTTTACCAAGCTTTAGTAAAACCTCACTTTGATTACTGTGACATTGTCTGGGGTAGCTGTGGGATAACGCTACGAGATAAGCTGCAGAAATTACAGATTAGAGCAGCCCGTGTTTTGACATTTTCCAGCTATGATGCCGATGCAACTAAGCTACTTGAATTTTTAAGTTGGAAAAATCTGACAAGCCAGCAGGAAATTCATAGAGTTACCATGGTTTTCAAATGTCTGCACGGGCTAGCTCCTAAATATCTTAATTCTAAGTTTAGATGGTGTAACTCTGCTTATGACCTCAGGGACTCTGAAAATAAACTAAATGTTCCTCTACCTCGCACTAACTATTATCGAAAAAGCTTTAGCTATAGTGGAGCCACATTATGGAATAGTCTTCCATGTGATATAAGGAACACAGAGTCTCTGGGGTTATTTAAACGCAAGATCAATGCCACTCTATAACGCACGGCATTCACGGAAAACAGCTTTTAGTTATTAGTTAGTGTTTTAATTTTTAAATAGTTTTAGTTAATGTAATTGCTGATGAATTGTTTCGCGCTTAAATAAAGATTATAATACTGTTGACGGAATCAAAGACAAGTCGGTTGACGTGAAGAGTTCAACTTCTTATTCAAGACCTGTTGGTTTGAAGGAGAAGATACTCTACTCCTCTGGTGAATTAGAAGGTGCTCAAAGCTGAGCCACAGATCCAATCTGGTCTCTGAAGGTCTATGGTATCGAGGACTCAACTGTGAATGAAAGAGAGCCAGTTCTCTACTATCTGAAAGATGGTCCAAAGCGTGGATTCGTTCAAGAGGGGCTTCGATTGTTCATCCTGGAACTTAGTTGATTCGTGAAAGAATTCGTTGATTTGGAAAAAAAAACCATTGAAATTAGTTTCTCAATAGACCTGAGCAATCCTGGTGAATCAATTCAAGAAACTGAGAAAGACATGAACAATAAAAAGATCCGCAATCTTGCCGATCCAACTGACAACGAAAACGCAGCAAACAAGAAGTATGTTGATGAAAAAACAGAAACAATCGATTCATTCACTTTTTTTTTTACCAAATATGCCCCCAGAAGTCTCTTCATTGAGACATTCATCAAGGAAAAAGCAACATGCTGGTATCACACAGACCACAACTCAGACAATGAAGTACTTCATTATAATAGTATAGTATTGATTTTTTTGATCAATCATGATTGAACAACTATGCAACACAAAACAGAAAATTTCACTCAGACCAAGAATATCCACTTCAACAAACAATGGAAGACACTTTTTTTTTTTTCATGAAAATAGGCAATTTGATCTTCTTTTTTAAGAAAAAAATGAATATCACATGCTCCATTCATCGCTATTGGAAAAAACATAAAACTATATCGAACACAAAGATACAATCATGAAACAAATAAATGTTAAGATGTTTTCATTGATGTTAAACCACAGCAGGATTCAAGACAAAGGCAAATCCAACAGAAGGAGGAAGTTGGAAAGTCATTAGCTGCCACTGGATTAGTGAAAGGTCAGAAAAAGATATAAACTTTCCGGTGTAATGGCAAAAAACTTGTACACTTTACTACAGAAAGAACATATTCAATACTACAGTATGTTGAAAGAAATTTAAAAAAACAGGATAGAGGTAATTTTCTCGAGGGATTAAACTCTGACAGTCATACTCTTCTCATTTACGATTACACAACAAATCAAGGCACAACACGATAAAATATTGATGCTGATGCCGTCGCACGACAATCTCAATAAAACATACGGTAAGAAGCCACACGCATGAAATCTTCATACAAACAATCAACACCCTTTCAGCGAGGCTGATGGCGTAACAAGAGGATCAATCAAGATGATAATATTCAAGATCATTCAAGATGATAATATTCATACCCTTTTCAGAACTCACGAGTGGGCATTGTAAAGAGGGTGTGAAATTATTCACCTGTGAAAAAATTTAAGTTGTCTTGAAATCAAGGTTGATTTCAAAGTGTGCAAGAACTGTTTTTTTGAAATCAAGGTTGATTTCAAGTCAACCTTGATTTCAAGGTTAAATTCATGAGTTGCCTTTAAAATCAAGGTTGATTTCAAAATGTGCCAGAAACCCCATTTTCTAACTACTGAAATGAATAAACAAAATGACTTCATCTTCCGCAGATATTTCAAAGAGCTCTCACGCCATTTGCCAATTTGCCAATGTCCGACCATTTCCCGGACTTCTCTCTAGCTTTTCACTGAACAAAGGATTTCCCTGAGCATTTCACTTTCAGATCCTGAATTAATATTAAAAAACTACAAGTGAAAGTGTTATATTCGACCTGCCGAACTATTTTAATTTGTGAACTATTGGAAATTGTGAGTTTTAACTGGCTTCAGTTGCTTGAAACATCAACTTACCGTGTGCAACAAATGTATTTAAGACGTTGCATTAAAGACGTTGCGATTAATTTAGCATTTTTGCACCCTATAGGAAAAAAATGGATTTTGCTTACCTCACTCGGTAAAAATGGCGCATAAACTGAATAAGCTGCAAATAGGGCGAAGTAAACCAGGCACATTGAAAGAAAAATTACTGTGTTGCGCAGAGTCCATGTCTCTTCCTTCTCTGGACGCGTGTCGCCTGTGCTTTTAGTAACTGGAATCTTAGAAGTACTATCTTTCATGGTCAACACTCCACTTGATATACAATACGTTCCCGCTAACCAGTTTTCTTCATGCTCTGTTAAAGATTTCACACATGCAATTACAACAACCCAAATTCATAAATTAT